AGCTCTTAGGGCACCTTGTATGTCTTAAATGGTGAGTAGTTCTGAAACACAATCTCAGAGGTGTATGGCTGAAACATGGCCTGGTCCAAATCTAATGAGGAAAACTGTATTTAAAAAAAAGCCACAGTCAAACTTTTAGATAATATCTGATGAAATGTTGAAATGCAAAATGTAGAAAATGGCTCAACATACTTTTGAATTCAAATGTTCACTTTATTAAGGGAAAAACATAAAAACATCTGTGAATTGTGTTGTGTGAGAAAAATCAGATGGAACACACCCAGGGTTGTGTTGAGGCAGAACACATAGCATTCGTCATTGAGAAGATTTTTACATATAACTACATCCGTCACATCAAGTTTGACTCACATTTTAGTAAGTCAATATTGTTATGTAAATGCAGAACTCTGCAGTACAAAGGTACTGTACAAAGCTACAGTTGCTATACTATACATATTAATAGCCATAAGTATCTCCCCAGAGAGAAACTGTGATGATGACCTTAATTAACTTTGAAAATGTTGCTGCTAAGATACTTGGAACCAGTGATGTAGAAGAACAAACTAAATAATTAAGCGATAGAGCTGAGCATTGTAAAATGCTGATATTTTACCTTGTGATGTGTGGTCTCACTCATATCTAAGAGCTCCAGGATATGGGGTGGATGCATCTCATAAGTGTTTGATAATCACTCTTCTGAAGTCTGGCACATTTCTCGAGCATATACAGATGGAATCAGCTAAAGGCATGTGCAGACTGTTATGAGTGCATTTATTCACTATATAACAAAATATTTTCCTATATTCTGCATAAATTTATATTGCATAAATTACTCTTCATAAAGCTGCTTTGGAACAATGCACATTGTGAAAAGCATTATAGAAATAAATTAAACTGAAGTGAATTGATAAACTTTGCATGTCTTTTGGCTAAACTAGGATTCTCAAAACCTGTGGCACATTTCTCGAGCATATACAGATGGAATCAGCTGCAAAGGCATGTGCAGACTGTTATGAGTGCATTTATTCACTATATAACAAAATATTTTCCCATATTCTGCATAAATTTATATTGCATAAATTACTCTTCATAAAGCTGCTTTGGAACAATGCACATTGTGAAAAGCACTATAGAAATAAATTAAACTGAAGTGAATTGATAAACTTTGCATGTCTTTTGGCTAAACTAGGATTCTCAAAACCTGCTCCTGGAGAACTACCGTCCTGCAGATTTCAGCTCCATCCCCAATCAACACACCTCAACCAGTTAATCAATATTTAATAACAAGCAAAAATAAAAAGGAGACATAGTAAATAAATCCCATTACAGTAAATAAAGACTAGACGCATGGGACTAGAGCTATAATAAGAGGTTTAAAAGGAACTGGTTTATCAGATACTTCATTAACAGCGTTTGTCAACACTCAACACCTTATAATCAACCACCTGTCAATCAAAAAATTAACATAAAAATCAATTATTCTTTATGGTCAGACTCAGAAAATATTTTTGTTAAATACTTAATGTAGTGTAGGATTTGGTGTCCTAGTGAAAGTACAGTAAGTCTGGTATGTTAATGTAAATAGTTTAATTAAGTTAATAATAGTTAGTGCTCCGTTTGGAGGCAGGGATTTTAGTTACAGTTTTTCTCGATTGCTAAAACACTATAACCAGGCTTTTGAACTAAAATTTCAAAACCATAACGCCATTTTTCAAAAAGCACACCCATTTTGCTGAACTATAAACACTATTCCCCTGCTTTAACACATGGTGTTTTGGTGAACTGTTACTGCAAAACTCTACAAAAACACACAAATCCCTACATTTCTCAGTGCTTACACCATGTGGTCATTTAAAAAGCACTAGCATTCAATACTGTTCACTCAAGTCAGCACAGCTTGAGCTCAATTAGCAAACAATTACCCAGGTGGAAACACTAAGAGTCAAAATTGGGGGGGGAGGAGGAGGAGGGAGAGGAAGAGGACGTGGTGAAGGAAGAGGACGTGGTGAAGGAGGAGGAGGAGGGAGAGGTTTCTGCCTGCATACTCTCCCTTTCTAAACCCGATAGAGGAGTTTTTTTCGGCATGGCGGTGGAAAGTGTATGACCGAGAACCTTATCCGTGCTCACCTCCTCCAGGCCATGGAAGAAGCCTGCCTAGACATATCAGTAGATGCATGCCAGGGGTGGATCAGGCATGCAAGAGGATTTCCCCCCCGCTGCCTAGCTAGGGCCAGTATAGCCTGTGATGTTGACGAGATTCTCTGGCCTGACCCAGAACAAAGACTGGATGCTGAGGCGGATTTTTATTTTATTTTATTTTTTTACAGTTGTGCTGTGTAGTACATGAATGAATAAAAATGTGCCAATGTATACATTGGTTGTGTCTTTTGTGTTCATGTGAAAAGGTTTTTGAGGGGGAGAACCACAAGCAACATAACTTACCAGTTTTTGATATATTGTTTTGAATTTATTGCACCAGTGTGTGTAATACTATGTTGTAGTGTGTGTGTGTTTTTGAAAGCTTGTGTGTGATGTCTGAGGGAAAAGTTTGGTTTTTCAGCAAGAGTGAATGGTTTTGAGTGTAGAGCTTCATTTTGACCTGAAAATAGGATGTTTGGGGAATTGGGTGAGACGTTATGGATTTGTGTTTACTGTTTTGAGAATACGAGGCATTGTTTCAAGAAATGTGTTTAAGCAATCGAGAAAAACTGTAATAAGGGTAACCTGCTGCTTTAAAAATACAATTTTAAGATATATTAAAATGCTCACCTTTGCAAAATTTGCCTCCCGTTTGACCAGTTTAGGATTTCGGGGTGCCACCACTTTTGTTTTGAATCCCGCTGGCATCTTCTCGCGTGAACTTCAAAAGGGTCTGGCTGCAGACTTGCGCTTCCACTCTCAGACTTGCATTCTCAGACTTGCACTCTCAGACACTTGCACTTCCGTTGTCTTTTTCTTGCAGGACCCTGTATGTTATAGTACTAAATTGGTTTTAATCGTTTAATCACCACTACAGCTTCTTGTCTCCATTGGCAACACGCACGATTTGTGTCGATTGCAAGTGACGTCGCAGGCAAGTGACATTGTAATTTAGTTTCTTTTTTCTTGTCTTCACCACCTGGCTACTGTTGTAAAATGTTGAGAGATTCAAACAAAAAGTAATCAATAAATAGAACAAAATAAAAAATAAAAAAGACTGCAAGTGACGTCGCTAGCGGAAGCGCAAGTGTCTGAGAGTGCAAGTCTGAGAATGCAAGTGCAAGGCTGCAGCCAGACCCTTCTCGTGAACTTCGGAGGTTTGAGTGAGAAGCTTGGTCGAGGCTGGCATTTTGAAACAAACTGACTCACGTTTTTTGTGTAAAATTAAATCTGCTGCTAAAGGCAGAAATGTCTGGTTTCTTGCGTGATTGACGATGACAAGCGATAAATGTTTAACCCTGAAGCAGATGGCTAGACGCCATTCGCACGCTAGGTCGCTTCATTGGTAATGTTGTGTTTATCCGAAACACAAGACGTTTAAAAAAGATGTTTGTAAAATAACCACACGGCTACATTATAAACTAAGAACAATAAAAATTAATAAAGCATTTTAAATGCCCCCACATTCTTCCTCGAGCGCACATTTCTCAACTTTGAGCGTTGTGGTTACCATGACAGCGGTCGCCATGGCACCGGGCTACTGAACGTTCTCAGTAAACAGCTCACTGATTGGTGTGCGTAAATAAAGACGCCCTGTGATTCGCTGAAAGTGGTGGGCCTGAACAGTGAGGATATCTGTACCAAACCACAAACTTTACTTTTCATTGTGTTCGCATGCAGAGTTAGATATGATTAAAATCTCAAAGAACAGTAAAGAGAAGTCTGTACGAGATACCATAATCTTATGTCATGGAACAATGGCAGAATAAACACATTTGAAAAACATTTTATTTTAGTCATCAAGATGCTAAGCAGTAGATTTATGAAATTAGACTAAAATCCTGAAGTATATTTTTTCCCCTGAGCACTAATCAGTGTAACATTAGGCAAACGGTCTGCCCTCTTTGACCTGACCATGTCTGATATAATTTCAAAAATTTTAAATGTCATTTGCACATATATATGTAGGTGTGTTGGTGAATTAAATAATCGTATAGTTTTGAATTTGACATAGCAACTAATTCTCATTCCTACCAAAGCAAAAACACATCTCTGACAGGACTGTTTTTTCTTTCATAGCTTAAACAATTTTAAAAAGATATCAAAAATGCATCTATTTGCCCTTTTATACAGTGATTTGTACGTATACTGAAGAAAGTAATGTTTTCACTCACTCACCTATTATTCATTCATTGTGACTTTATTAAGGTCATTTTCTTTTCTCTTTTTCCTTTTCTCATCCACCCAGAAGTTGTTCCAAAATCAAGAATGTTGAGCATGTATGCATTATAGCATAATAATAATAGCTTAATGCATAACTAAACATGGGTGTGGTGCATCACTCTCTCGTTGTGACATGAATATGCAGTTTGAGATATTGCACCAACAACATATAGTTTAGTACTGATTATACCCTTGTTAAAAAAAAAGTACTTTTAGAATATACTGAATTGGCAACTGAATGCAATGTTTTTGGGCACTTGGGGAACAAAACACAGGCTCGGGGAGCCTGGACTCGGCACTCGGCCCGGCCTCCACGGACAGACCCCTACTACCCCCTACTTACGTTAAGAAACAGTGATGAAGTGTACTTTCTTTAAGTACCCTTGGCCTTTTATTTCATTAATATTATATTATCTGTAAGTGCACATTCAGTATAATTAAGTGCACTTCTTTTTCACAAGGAAGGGTGTCTTGCCCAAAGTATTAACTTTACATTTAGTTCTAAATTTAGCTTAGTTTTTAGAGTGAAAGAATATTTGAAACACTGAATATTTAGATTGGGCAGTCCGGTTGGTGTTTAAAAAAAAAAAACATCCATAATCTCTGCGCGTGACAAATTACACTTTAACGGTTTCCCTGGGCACTTCAGTTAAACTACATAGAAACACGTTATTTCCCCTACTGTGAGGCACCACTACACGTCTGTGCTGGTCCTGGCAGGATGACAGTTCTCAGGGCTCTTTAACTGCGGGTCAGTGAGCGGCCCATTCTGACAGAAAATTGGATTAGAACAACGAGCGCTGTTTAAGAAACCAGTTTTAAGACGGACTCCTCCTCCGTCACGCCACCTTTCCCACGAGACCGTCGGGTGTTTGACCTCTGCTCATGTTGCTCTGTATTTATTCCTCGTGCCAACAATATCCCGTTCAGTAATTCGACCAGGCGCTGCGGAAATGTCAACATCCAGCGCATGCAGGTAAGGTGGAAAACGAATATGTGTGCCAGATTCGCTGCCTTACAACATAGCAGAGCTGCCAAATCAATATCCTACATCATTTCAGACTGTCTAAACGAAATCTTATTGTGAAAAAATATGGGATTACATTCGTGAGTAGGCTAGTCGCCATGACAACTGCCGCTATTTATTTACATCCCTCTTTATGTCATAGATCAACCTGAAGTAAATGCGAGATCAAAACCTGTATGATTTACAACGCAGTCTCTGTTCTCAAGAGGATTTTTACTTCCGTAACTGTTTGGATGGCGATAGTTTATTCTTCATTCATATTCTTCCACTATTGTTTGTGCCTTCCAATTCCACAGTAAAAAGGTACATTTGCTGTCGATTATAAGTTCGAATGAAATTCAACATTTCTAATAACATATTATCAATAAAATCAGCTACTCGTATTATAATTACGGATACGTAACACAATCGGCTTTGTGGATGCGCCCAGGATAATATGCAGCTCTTAAAGTGACAGGCTGCGCTATAAAAGCTTTGGGAAAACGGCTATGAGAACAAATGAGGACATCATGGCTGTTGGCAGACCTTTTCAAACCAAAAAAAAGACAGCGCTGTGATTGTAAAATAAGAGGCCTATTGTTTATTCTCACTGAGCGTTATGGAGTCATGTAGTGTTTGAAGCTCAGCTCTCTCTGAATGGAAAGTGCTGATCCCGCAACGCCCTGCAGCACCACGGACAGCGCATGCTTACAGCTCGGCCACTGAGCTCTTCCTACCCGATATTTTATCTTGTTACCTTCGCGCGCCTTATAGCTATGAAATGCTTTGTGATTATAAACGTGGGCAGTCCAGCTATGTAAGCAATTCAGTAAGAATGAGTATACTGTAATTTTTGTTTTAGTTTCAAAAGACTATAAAATAATTCAGAGTATGATGGTGCTTCATGTTAGTTAAATAATGACAGACACTTTTTGTCAACCAGAAAGCATAATGTCATAATGACTAACCGCCTAAAGACTACAAGTGAATTTTGAACTACCTAATCTGGAAAGCGTCAGCTATGGACCTTAGACATGGGAGCGCCATATTTAATTTTTAACAGGAATAAAAACGAGGCTGTGAGGCAGTGGTCACCAAACTCGATCCTGGTGTGTTTGAACCCTAATCAAACACACCTGAACCAGCTAATCAAGGTCTTAATAGCCTATAGGCTACTTGAATCTTCCAGGCAGGTGTGTTCAGGCAAGTTGAAGCTAAACTGCAGGACAGTGGCCCTACAGGGCCGAGTTTGAGGGATTGACCCCTGTTGTGAGGGATAGAGGTAGCCAGTGCATTCAATGGATTGTACTGTTGTTTAACACGACTGATCAACTGACGAGACGTCTTAACGGAAAAAAAAATGTAAATAGACAAAAGCCCATAAAACATTAGGTGAATAAAATGACATGACCTAGGACCTTTATATAGCTAGTGCGTGCCAGCCTTTCATCTGTTAAATTCAATATGGCATCTAACCTCAATATAGTATATTAAGCCTAAGTATTCTTGTACACTAACTGATAACAAAGCTCTTTACAGTTTGCTACAAATAAAAATACAGTAGACTGCTTTGATAGTTGAGACCCAAGGAAAATCCAACAATGAGCACAGACCATTAATATAGTTATTTCATATAGTTACAGCTCAGAAATGGATTTACACTGCAGTGGTCATGGTAACATGACCAGCAGTTATACAGTAGCTTACACACTCAAGACAGATACTGGAAATCATTACTACAGTTATTGTTCAGGTAAATGACGTCAAAGAGATAATTCAACATATTCCAACACAATAGCATTGCAAATGACAGGGATCATTAATAATATAATATAATATAATATAATATAAAGGCTTAAAAAAAAAACTTTTTGTCACTGTAGTACTGTATATACTTTTGCTTCTCTCTTCTAAATGCTGTTTTCAGTTGACCTGCTGTTACAACTCTAAAAGTAACTTGATTGGATCACTGTACTTGACAGGTCATTTGACATAGCATGTGTGTCTAATACAGATAATTCTGACACTTCCTTATATCATAACCAAGTAGGAAATTGGTCAAACATTATGCAACAGTTTGGCACTTTATTATGATGTGTGTTTTTTTTATGCATGACCGACACCAGCCCCACTAAGAAAAATATTAAGCAAAAAACAATGTTTTGTGTTTATCTAGCTACAGCTATGAGGAGTACAAAGAAACCGCAGACTGGCTGCTTGCTAACACAGATACCAGGCCCAAAGTGGCAATTATCTGTGGTTCAGGACTTGGTGGATTGGCTGACCTGCTGGACAAGAAGAAAGTGTTTCCTTATGACAAAATCCCCCACTTTCCCCACAGCACAGGTAGGAGATGTTTTTTTCTGTCATTCGTAGCCTATTCAGAAAATTTTTATTCATAATCTATTCACTGACTACACAAAAAATGAAAAAGCGTGTCCTTTATCACTTCACTGCCATTCTTTGGTTATTGTTTGCATAAACAAACATTTAACAGTCTACCTCATGCCTCTTCAGTGCAAGGGCATAAAGGTCAGCTGGTGTTTGGAGAGCTGAATGGGAAGCCATGTGTTTGCATGCAAGGCCGCTTCCACTTCTATGAGGGCTATAATATTGCCACGGTAAGTATCATTCTTAAAATCTCAAAGGGAAAATTGAATTCTCAAAGGATAAGGCATACTATAATATTGCAACAGTCAATCTGCCCACCTACAGTACAAAAGAAAAAATATGAACAGTGCAAAACCAGAACATGTAAAAGCCTATGGGTTTGGATAGAAAATCTGGGAAATAAAGTGAAAAGGCACATTGTCAGTTGATAATTAAAACATCTTGGTAACACTTTACAATAATGAATCAAAGTCAAGAATCATCTCAGTGTTTCCATTCCTTTAGCAATTATATACCACGACACTAACACAGAGGTTATTCTGTACTTAACCATTGACTTCTCAGTGTTCATTAAAGCAGAGCTATCAGCAATTTTATGTATAACAGAGATGATAGTTAACCTTTGGCAAATGACCCTGTCTTCTCCTATGAACTTTTACAACATTCCAACATTTGTGTTGCTTGTGATCAAGTTAAATAATGTTCAGAAACACACAGACAGTGCTTGATCTTTGTTGCAGATGCCAAGTGAAATATGACATTATGATTTATGGCATGGTTTTTATGAGTGATTGAAATCACTATCCATATTCTTGGTGTTGTAAAAAAGCAGTCATATATTTGTTACTCAATTTCTTAATTCAGTGCACATGAGGAAAAAACAATTTTCAATTAAAATGTATTTAATCACAAAAAATGTATAAAGACTTAAAATCTTACTTGTCAAGTGAAAAAAATGTACAATTCTCAATCCTTTTAAAATGGACAATTTAGACAAACTGGGGTGGGGGGGGATACAGTTATAGCCTACTATATGGTTTTGATAACATATATCAGTTCATATCCAGTATTTAATTTCCTGTTTCATAAAGATGAGAACAGTTTGTCAAAACAGCTTTAAATCTTATACTATTGTTCTGTTTTAGGTCACATATCCAGTAAGAGTGTTTTTCCTTCTCGGGATTGAGACTCTGATTGTGACCAATGCTGCTGGAGGACTCAATCCTAGATTTAATGTGGGAGACATCATGCTGATCAAAGACCATATCAATATGCCTGGCTTTGCAGGCCAAAATCCCCTGTGTGGACGCAATGAGGAAAGGTGAATTGCCATTTAGTATATCAAGATGTTTAATGTTTTATTGAAATCCAAGCATATAGATTTAAGATCATTTTTTATAATTACGTTTAAAGAAACCTAATTCTACCTAACACCAGAATTTGAAGAAAAGTATTTGGATGAGTTCCTTTTATTTTTGACTTTGTTTTTAACAGTTCAGTCTTTGTTCTGCTATGGCCTTGGTATATAATCTTACTAGCATTTCTCGAATGATTTCTGTGACCAGTCCAAATGTTCACTGACATTTGTGTTCTGTCCCTGTAGATTTGGAGTCCGCTTTCCCTGCATGTCTGATGCTTATGATAGAGACTTTGCACGGATGGCCAGGGAGACGGCCCAAGATCTAGGATGTGACTCTTTCCTCCAGGAGGGTGTTTACTGCATGTTGGCTGGACCGTCCTATGAGACGATTGCAGAATGCAGGGTTCTACAGATGCTTGGGGCAGATGCTGTGGGTATGTATTGTATGACTACATAACACTTTTACCAAAGACATCACGAGTTAGCAAGACGTAGTGTCTGTGTATATATACAGTATATATATATATATATATATATATAAAAAAAAAAAAAGAAAAGTTTATTCAACAAGGATGCATTTTCAAAGAATACAGTCAAAAAGGTGGCATTTATAATGTTACAAAATTTTTTTTTTTAAATACTGTTCTTATGAACTTTCTTTTTTCCTAAAACATATATCACAGTTTCTACAAAAAATATGAAGCCACGCAACTGTTGATGATGAGAAATGTTTCTTGAGCAGCAAATCAGCATATAAGAATGATTTCTGAAGGATCATGTGACAATTAAGAAAGGAGTAATGGCGGCTGAAAATTCAGCTTTGCCATCACAGGAATAAATTACTTGTGAAAATATTTTTAACAGTTATTTTACATAGTAATAATATTTTACAATATTATTGTTTTTACTGTATTTTTCATCCAATTAATGCTGTTTCTCTATAATTAGGTATGAGTACCGTTCCAGAGGTGGTGGTCGCTCGTCACTGTGGGATGCGTGTGTTTGGACTCTCCCTAATTACCAACAAGGTAGTGACTGACTACAACAGCACAGAAAGGGCTAATCATGAAGAGGTCCTGGAAACCACCCGTATGCGAACCGAAGACCTGCAGAAGTTAGTCAGCAATTTAGTGCTAAAAATGTAGTTAAATGTAATTTACCAAATTTAGTACAAAAATCTTGCAGCTGCTCTTGATACACTTTCGCACAGAATTGCACCCAGACTGCCTAAAAATGTAGGATGTATATGCTCCTTAATGCTTCTCATGTATCTTATTCAGGGTTAAAGTAACTTTATGAACTTTCCAGTGCCTCAAGACTCTCTGAGTCAAAATTTAGGCTAGGTTCATTTTGTTTACTTTTGATATTATCCATATTGCAGTGAATACTGTGGTACTAACACATCACTGTGAGACTAGGTATTAATATGACACATATACTTTGTAATGCATTCACATCCTTCCTGAAATGAGTGTTAAGAACAACTGAAATTAGAAGCATTACATAACTATCAGTATTCTTGTCTTTATGACTTTAAAGAAGAGTTAAAGAACAAACGTACATGAAAAGGGACAAACACAGACTTACACCTTAACTGTAGGAAATTCAGTTGCAAATACCAAATGAGGACAGTTACAGTGCAATTAGGTGCTAAATAATCAATTAATATATTACATAAGCAAATGTTTTATCTTTTTAGTTTATTAATTTGTCTAGATGTTTCCAAATAAATTTACAGATGTTTAAATATGTTTTCTGCAAATAATAGATGGGAAAATCTCTTTAAAATTATTAGAGATATTTTATAGATTTTTAATTGTCTAGAAATGTGATGTATTTTACTAACTTTATTTAGACTCAAACATTAAAATATAAAAATAAATGATGATATGTTGCTGTGTGGTGGTATTTTTTAAATCCTTTGTGTTCTGTCCTTCTATTTTCCAATTCTGAGACCCTGTGCATTGATTTATATAAAAACTATGAGAATCGGAGATGAAAACTGTAGTCTTTTGCTATGCCATACGAAATATAAGATTTTATCATGTGTTTAGCAAAGGCCCAGCGGCAATCAATATGAATCATTTCCTGCAATGCATATGTACAGAGAGCAAGATCAAAAGTAGTTTGTATACACCCTGCAAAAACCTTAAAGCAAAACATAATGGAAAATGAGATATTCACAGGAGATCAAGACGATTTACAGTTGAGTTACAATAATGGACACCTTTAAAGTCTGCCAGGGGATTCACATACACTGTTTTGAGGTTGTAAATAAAACTCTAAAGATTATTAGTGTGTGTTTTACAAGAAAATACTATATATATATAATATATTTTCTACTTAAAAGTTCATGTTTATTCAATTTTAGTTTCTTTTTAAATATTTGTGAAATTTACTAGCAATTTCTAAGAGAAAATAGTTTCTACATGATTTTTTTCAGTGTAGTGACTAGCTCTTGTCCTAACCATAATATTTTGCTGCTAAAAGCAGTACATTTTTTAAGTCATTTATGACCAGTCCATGAATACGGATTCTACTTTGTATTTCATGTGGCAGATGTGTGAGAGATCTGTAGATCTGTGCGAGAAACCTCTGCACACATCAGATTTTTGGAGGAAACAATCTTTTAGAGAAAGGAGGTTAATCTGTCAGACGATGCCTCTGCCCTTGCCGATGATAACAGAGCTTCAGATCAGTCTGTTATTCAGAAAATATTTATGGAAAGCCAGTTGTGCTGACTCTGCCCAGAAACATCACAGTCCCTGTGAGCCATAGTGAAGAGGTAACTCATATGCAATTAGTGACAGGCCATTTTGCTGAAATGTTCAGGGCTTGATGCCCATGATGTGCGCAGCAGTGACGGTACTTCCACTCAATGGTTTTCTAGAGGAACAGAAGAAGTCAGAAAATTTAATGATCTGTCTTGATCTTACACGTTTTTGTTCTGCTCTCTCTCTGACATATTATCTCATTTGAAAATCTTGTTTCTCTCTGTAGCTGTTTTCCTCTGAAATGCAACTTTCAGCTCAGCATTCTTCATTTCAAGGTCTTCATGTATTTCAGATAGCACTACATTGATAGCACTACAAAGAATGCTTGGGATTTGTATGAAAAAAAGCTCTTAGTAGGTAAATGTAAGTTACCTTAACCTACAAAAGTTTTGGGTCAGTATATATATATATATATATATATGTGTGACCCTGGAGCACAAAACCAGTCTTAAGTCGCTGGGGTATATTTGTAGCAATAGCCAAAAATACATTGTATGGGTCAAAATTATAGATTTTTCTTTTATGCCAAAAATCATTAGGATATTAAAGCTGCAGTCCGTAACTTTTTTTAAACTTAATTTTAGATTAGTAATATGCATTGCTAAGGACTTCATTTGGATAACTTTAGAGGCGATTTTCTCAATATTTTGATTTTTTTGCACCCTCAGATTCCTCACGCAGACATCCACATACTGTATCCTCACGGCAAATCTCTGATATCTTGGGCATAACAGACCTTTAAATCAGAATCCTGATATTTCACTCTCTGCCCTCTTAACGCATCCCTCCACTCCCATGATTTTTCTTTTTCATTTCACTTTAATCAGCCTGCTGTGATCGTGTGCTTGATGGAGAGCTATACTTTATATCTCACCATCTCTCTCAAATCATGTTTTTCAGCAAGGGACACAGGAAGAGTGAGAGAAAACCCAGGGGACACGTTGGCATTAACCATCTATACACATTCTTGGGACAGTGGAATTCACTGAGGAAGAGGGACCTTATTGGAAAGAGAGATCTCATTTATTCATAAACAGGCCACAGTTGAGTGAGAGAGATAGTAGGGTTGTAATTCTGAGCATTGTTCAAAGGTCAGTGCCTTTCTCACATCCACATTCATGACATCTCTCTTGCTAAAATGATAATCCTCTGTCTCATTAATATATACAGTGGAGTTCAAAATTGTGAAAGCCAGGGTTATTATAGTTAACTAAAACTAAAACCATAATAAAAATTGTTACTTGAAATAAAATAAATGTAAACTGAAATAAAATATAATATTAAAAATGTATTTGAAGTTAGTTGCCAAAAAAACATTTTTATATAATAGTTCAACTTGATTTACTTTAACTTGAAATAACTAAAACTGAAATAAAAATTAATAAAACTATATAGACATTTTAAAAATGAATAAAATGACAGACACAACAAAATGACTAACAAAATTTTTTTAATGAAAATTACAAATAAAAACGAATTTAAAATATTAATAAAAAAAAACTATAATTCTAAATAATGAAGTAACAATGGTGAAGGCACATTCAAATTCTGGAATTTAAAATAAATAAATAATAAATAAAAAGAAGCCTAAGAAAAATTTTCAACAATGAAAAAAAAAAAGAAACTTCTGCACTTTCTAGGTATCTAAACATTGATATTGCAGTGATCATGTGACTCTGTACAGATATGTTCTTGCTTCCATTGAAACATAAGATGCTCTTTAGATCATTCTCAAATAACTGATTCATTTAAATCTAACTTATTTTATGTATTAAATGCATTCAGGGCTTGACATTAACTTTTTTGCCCACTAGCCACAGTGGCCAGTGATTTTCCAGTTACTAGCCACTCAGCATTTTCACTGGCCACAATTTTGTTTTTGGGAAATTATGTTTTATATGAATAAAATTGACCATGGTGTGCTAAAGTATGACATGACTTCAAAACATAACATTTTATAAAATGATTTTAGCCTTTAAACCCTTTTTAAGAAAAGGGATTAGTCAAAATTATCAAACATTAGGCTATATTAATTTAAAACATCAATTTAAAACAAACATCTGTTTTAATCGTTTAGATATTTAGAAGGCATATTAGCTTATTGTCCATCCACCAGTTCACATTTACAACTTTGCGTGTTTGCTGCTTAAAAATTTGGGTCGATTTTGGCAGTGGTCTGAACAAAAACTGCAGACAGGCTTATTGAAAATGCAAATTAATTCTCTACCCGTAGGTGGCGCTTTTGGAACAGAAATATAGAGGTTTCCCGGGAACGGCTGTAAACAAAGCAGTCCTGCACTCATAAACACTACTTTATCAGGCAAGATGAAAGGAAAATGCCATCGAAGCTTTCACATATTCATATAAAAACACCCGCGCCGTGTTTTGACTTTTAAACGTGCAGCTCATATTTATTTAATGCAGGTTGGTCCTTAGGGCGGTGCCACTGGTGCGGTTGCACCAGGCCTCGTGCTTGAGGGGGCCCCGTGGCGAACGGACTGAGGGTCCCCTTTTGAAGTCACATCAAGCCATATCGCAATTCTTGTTCTTCCATCCCCAAATTTAAGACCTCTTAAAATTATAATAAAGACTTTTCTTGTACCATTTAAATCATTTAAGCCTTTTTATGGGTAAAAACTAAATGTAAGACTTTTCAATGACCCATGGAAGATCTCTGATTCAACCCGCCAAAGTGGCTAGTGGGAGTGACAGTGTTACATGCCACTGGTGTTAATGTCAAGACCTGAATGTATTAAATTAGATTGAAATGTATTCAAAAGTACAAAATAGAAGCATTTTTATACTAGTGGTCTCAGACTTTTGGACCCCACTGTATTTGGAGGAATTTGATCAATCACTATAAAGGTGGATTTGGGGATGTAGAGGAAACAGACTGAGACATCTCTGCATTCATAAACTCGCCTATTCCTATTCAGGGTCTAGACTTTGACATGTCAATAATACACCCACAACAATAGGTGGCGCCTAATACGCATAAAACGAGTGTGCCATGAAATACGTAATGTAATCTTTTACAGTCTATGAATGTAATGCGTGTTGTAAAGATCGCGAGTAAAAACAAAAGAAAAAGAAAAGCTTACATCTGCATGAGTCGTGACTGTCACGTTAGCCTGATGGCACCAAACTCTCTTTGTGATTTTAAAACGTAAGACAGTACCCAGATTTGAAGACTACGGTAAGATTTAACTTCTGCTGTTAATAAGATTTTGGTAGGCTACTATTAGATGGATATCCTAAATGTCCTAATTCAGATGGGCTACCTGTTTTTTTTTATTTTTATGGTATATCAAAAAGTGTATATTTTTTAAATGTGATTGTTGGTACATTTTACCAGTTTTTACCATACTTTCAAAACAAAAATTAAAATAGGAAAAATATGCAATATGAAAATAATTGAAGACAAAATGTGTTTTACTGAGAAAAAACAAGATTTGGTTTTTAAAAAGCCTTTTTCCAAAAGGTACATCTGGAAAAAGGGGGGTCGTCTTATAATCAGGGTCGTCTTATATTCGGGCCAATACGGTAGTTCACTGTCACTTTCACAGCATATTGATTGACGTTTTTGCCCTGTAGATCATATTAGATCACCAGTCCTTCCATAACCTCTATGAAAGGTTGTCTGATAAGAGGACAACAGCTTCTGACTATGAAGGATTACTTAAAAAAATATTGTGCACACATCTGGCGTGATAAAATTTGCTGCTGCCATAATAGCCTATAAGTTTCAAATATGTATTAAAATTTCAGTATCATTTCTCAGCAGTAGAAGGACTACAGGTAAGTATTTTAATCTAATTCATGCTGAAGTTAAGCCCTTGACCTTGGAGCTTGTACACATATACGGCAAAATGCTACCTGGAACACGAAATAAATGC